TAGGGCTCCCCTCCCTGATCAAGAGTCCCTCCCCATCTCTCCTGGAGCCCCTTGAGGGACTGGAAGGGGCTCTAAGGTCTCCTGGAGTCTTCTCTTCTCCAGGCTGAACCCCTCCAACTCTCTCAGCCCCCCCTCACAGCAGAGGGGCTCCAGCCCTTCCAGCATCTCCATGGCCTCCTCCAAGCCCTCATCCCCCCCCTCCTCCCGGCACATCAGCCCAGCATTATCAGAGAACCAACACATTTTACTAAACAAGACTTTGCTCAAGTGTAAATTCTGCCCAAACAAAGCTGCTCCGGTTGCGGATCAGGATCGTGGTCTCCACCATCAATCCAGAGCTGTAAAATCACAAAGAAAAGGCCATTTGAGAGGATTTTGGTGAGACACCGTGGCTGGGCTCTTCACTCTGGCTAATGTTTGCCGACGGGGACATCTCTCCCCCCAACTCCAGATTCACCCGGGGAGCACCCTGGCTCCTGCACCCCCTCGTGCTGTCCATCCCCCAGGGCTCCCACTCAAGAATGTTAATCAGACCGGGCTTTATCCCTAAACGAGATTTAATGACGAAATACTAAGTTAAATTGGGAGACTGAAGAGGAGGGTTCAGAGGTCTGTTTGCTGTACAGACACAAGAGAGGACCCTAAGACAGGATAATGCAATTCTGGATTATACCTGTCAATCCACAGTCCCCTCGGCTCCTTTAGTGTCTCAGATAGATTAAGAGGACCAAAACCCAACCTTCCCACCTGGTGGGCATGTCCCTGGAGAGTTCCCAGCTGCACACACCCCCCCAACATTGTGATGGCCACGTCCCTCCTCTGGGGGCTGCAGGATGGAGAGAGAAGTGAGAAATCCCACATCCTCCTCCCTGTCCCTGGCCAGGCTGGGCTTTCCCACTCCCCGTTCCCCCCACGGCTGCAGCTGGGGGTCAGACACCCCGTGTTGGGGACATCTCAGCCATTTCCTCCTCCTCCTCCTCCCCAAAGTATTTGGAGTTATCCATTCTTTTGAGGTGCGTTGGCTTTTTGACGAGCCACACCTCCCGTAGCACCGTGTTCTCTGAAGTCCCTGCCTCTACAAATACCTGTGAGACCTGTCACCCTCCGCGCCTCGGGAGCAACAGGCAGACACCAAACACAACAAAGAGCCCGTGAAAGCCCAATGAAGAGCGTTTGGCCGAGGAGACCCTTCCCACGACACCATCTGCTCTGGGACCCTCCTTTCCAGGAGCAGCACTTCCCAACCAGGAGCCGGTGGGGATTCTGCACGCTCCGTAGAAGCGCCTTAGTCCACATTCATCCAGCAGGAATGTCACTGAGCAGCTTCCATGCATGTGTGCAGTTTCTCTGGCACGTTATTATTAAAAGCTGCAGAAAATTTCGTCCTGAATTAGCCTGTTTTGAGAGCACCGCTGCTGGAAGGGCAGAGGCAGCTTTTGCTGGAGCCTTTTATTTTAAACTTTCGCTGCCAAACAAAAGGCAGATCTTTTCCCCATCAATGGCCTTGATTTTCTCGTGTGTCAGAAGTGACGGCGTGATGCTGACGTCTCCAAAGGTCTCTTCCAACCTAGACAACTCTATGATTCTATGACTCCTATAGCAGTTTTACATCAATTCATGAAGTGTCATGTGAAAGTGAGTTGTTCCCATCCCATCCCACTGGCTGCAGCGTGAGCACCTTGTAAAATAACACTGAATCACAAACTAGAGTTTACAAACTAATTAAACCAAGCAGCTTGAAGAGGGGAAACAGGACCCTGAGAGGTGTATGGCTTCTCCAAATGCTGCTCGGCGGGTTAACACAGAGCTGAGAGCTAAGGTTTGGGTGCCTGGGCCACCTCAAACCCAAACCCCCATCAGGAGGGTACGTGGTACCTCCTTCTTGGTATTTGCGAAGCGGATTTTGGGATGATGTGGGGAGATCTTTCCGTGCTTCAGCTACAGAGTAAAACAGCAAACAATTCCAAAGCATTTCCCTGCTGTGAGATACAGAGTAAAACAGCAAACAATTCCAAAGCGTTTCTCTGCTGTAAGATTCAAATAGATGGCACTGGTGGGCTCTCCGTGGTGGGAAGGGTGATGCCTGGACACGCTCCTGTGCGACCTGCTCTGGGTGGCCCTGCTCTGGAAGGGGGTTGGAGGAGATGATCTCCAGAGGTCCCTTCCAACCCCATGTGATTCTGTGATACAAACCAAGCAGCGACGAGAGGCAGGAGGAATCGCTTTCTAGTTTCCCCCCACGTGCTGGTAAAGCTCTGCCAGCTGGGCCAGACTGGTAATGGTGGAGAGAATTACAGAGAGGACACTTGCAGGCCAGGCGTGAATCACGGCTGTGGGCAGCCACGGCTCCGCAGGTGACACAGGCTGGTTCTCCCTCACCCTCATTTACTCACCTCTTCACTCGGTGGTTTTCTACCATTCCAGGCAGAAAACCTGCTCCTTGAGCGCAGAGGTTGCTCCGTGGCACATTCCTACGCCCATGAGGTAAGAGGAAAACCCTTCAGATGGAATAATTCTCCTTGTTCCTTACGTCCACCAGCACCAGCCAGGATAACATCAACAAAATGTCACAGAAAGTTTGGTTTAAGCCCTTAATATATGTCAGCTGTAGCTTGTAAAAGTTGGATGGGCTTTTTTTTAAGAAAAATAGCCCCAAGATAGGTTTTACTGTAATAGTATCTCCAAGAGTTGGACGTCAGGAGGTTTTTTCCTCGGAATGGCAAACGGGACCAGAAACAGCATCCAAGCAAAGGTGGGTCAGGAGGACGGCTGAGACCTCTTGGTAAAAGCCCTCCCTGGAGCAGGGGGCAGGTTTTGATGAGGGGGTTGGGAACCAGTGGTTGTTCCATCCTCCAGAATGGCCCACTGGCCTCCAGCTGGAGCCTGCATGTCTGCTTGGTGGGACACAGGTCTCCTCCATACCTGTGGCCACCTCGAGAGCAGGGCTCCAGCAAGGCTCACTCTTGGCTCCTGTGATTTGTTTGATGTCCCACAGGCAGCAGCTGTGGCAGGAGCACGTGTGTCTTGCCCCACTGATGAGGTCAACAGAGCAACAGGGGCTACACCGTGAAGAAACCGGCCAAGAAATGGGTGCAAAGAGAAATCCAAGACAGGGCTTGCTCCGTGGTGTTGCTGCCGAGCCCTTTAATCATAACAGCTGCTGTCTTGCTGGCTGGTTAATCAATAAACTAATTGAGCTGCATCAGTACAGTCTCTGGATCCCATTTCTTGATGATTGATTTATTACAAAGGTACTGGGAAGGTGCAGCTTCTGACAAGGGGTCCTGGTGGCACTTGGTGGAGCCCTGCTGAGATGGGCTGGAGGGGGCCCAGCTCTGCAAGACGCCCTTGTGAAAGCAGGGCAGCCAGCAGAGGACCCAACACACCTTCAAGCCAAGATGATCAAACTCCCCAGCAGGGACAGAGGAAGAGTCGGGGCTGTGGGCTCACCTTGCCAGCATCCACCCTGGATGGCCCTTCCTGGACCACACGCTCTGCAGCTGCAGCCAAGTGCTTTCCAGAATCTTCTCTGAGTCTTATCCACTTTAGCATCTCCCAACGCTGATCCTACCCTTCTGGCCTTCTGCTGAGTTTCACCTCGTTGCTTTATCTTATCCCAACTAGAAAATCTGCACGTCCTTTTAGCACACATTATTTTCCTGCCACTGAACAGGCCAGATCTGAAATGCTCAGCATCTTCTTCCTTTTTTTTTTTAATGAAGTATGAAGACTTGTGTGTTGGTGACAGGGCACACACGGCTCTTCAAACATCTGCAGGGGCCAGTCCTGCTGGGGCGATAAAGAGGAGCAGGGACCCAAAATCAAGCCAGGGTGCTCTTGGTCCCAATCCAGACAGGATGTCTTTTTCCTGACGTGGTTGTTGTTCTGTTTGGAGAGAAGTCATTTACCATTTCGTGATGATAATCAAGTGTGTGTTCATGCAAAAATAAGGCATTCCAGCCAGAGAGGAGGTGACCAGCCAACACCACCTCCTTTTTGGGAACATACAGCACCTACCACACTGAGATGTAGGGCTTTGGTTTGAGGCTTTTGTATGTGATGATGTGTCCTCTTCCATACCTAGGGATCTATAATGCCTTTTTGTCCTTAATGGTCTTTTTGCAGTGTTCTGAGATGTTCCTCAGTCACGGGTCCAGCCCTTGCTCCTTTGCGAGGTCCCAGGAAGAGAGACCTTGTGTATTTTTACCCCACTTCTACCCTAAGAAGTCCTCGGTGCTGTCCCTTCTCTTCCTCTCTGCCAAGCGTGTCCTTCGCCGTGGGCTGGTGGCCTGTGGCTATTTCAGAGCAGAGGGGAGATGAGGATCATCGTTGTCTAAACCTTGTGAGTCAGTCAGCAGCCTCCTCTCCTCTGGTACTGCAGCAGCTCCATCACCACTCACGTCTGCTGGACTCCTAGTAATGTCACAACAGTGAGGAAAGAGCTGGGGAAGGGGCCCAGGCCATTGGGGGTTTTGTTCTGAAAAATGAATTCGTTGGTATTAACCCAGGGAGGCACAGCTTGTGGTGGGTCAGGACGGCTGGACCAGCAGTGGCCAAA